GATAAGATTAGTCTGACAGGATTCATTACTGACCAATCGCACTGTTATCATGTTACTTATAAGCCAATCAGTCATCATGCAGCCTGTCGTCTCCTGCATCATCCTTCTCCTCGCTCCTATAGCTGAAAAGAAGGACAGTACAGTATATGCTTGATTCCAGTCCTTGGCACACCACCCGTTATAAAGATACTACCACAGCTACAACACCTATAGCTCTTGTTTCAAAAAAAAGATGCAGTAGGATCGCAATGACTCTTATTTTTCCCCAAGGTAGATCTTACAGATACAGTAGCAGGAACATGAAGGCAGCAGCCCTTCTTGGGTGCTATAAAGAATGTGTGCAAGACTGGAATTGCAAAGCCGTCTTTAATCGAAGGAGTTATTTGCAAGTTAACTTCACATGGCTTCCATCCTCTCGCTCACCCACTGACACACTGTCCTACTGCTTCATTCTGGACACTCCCCGTCTCAACCTCTACCAAAATGCTTGCTTCTCTTTCATCCCATAAAACAGGCGACTCCATCTCCCCGTTCAGGGCCAATACAATAACATTCTGCAATTCAATACAGAGCAGAAAATGACACTTGTATGTGTATCAAACACACACAGTATCCAAGGTCAATGCAGTTCTTCCACCATCCAAGGCAAAAAAATCTCACGTGTAATGAAAAAAAAAGGAAACAGATAAGCAATATAGAGGTGCTAAGAAAGTGGATGCCAGAACTCAAGGCAGCTCTTGAAACTATTAGAGAGGAATGGATTAGGTTGGAGGTATACATGCTCAGAGGTATGCTCACTACACCTACGCCAGGGTGTTCTCTCTCCTCCTGGTACCCCGATTTTCTACAAATAAGCTCTATCAATGAGGTACCCACTATGATGTAGTGGATGGTGTGACAGATTAGGACTCTGGAGACCAGGGTTCAAATCCCCACTGGGCCAAGGGGAGTGGAACTGGTAAAACCACTCCTTAAATATCTTACCTTGAAAGCTCTATTAGGGTCACTATTAGTCGGTTCCAACTTGATGGCACCAAACAATAGCAAAAACCTCTATCAGTAGAGTGGGTTCAAGAAAACCTAGGTACAGTAGTTGTGAGCTGCAGCTCTGGATCTATACCTGTCTTGGTAGACTTCAACATACAGATTGTGAGATGTTGGCAAAAGTAAAATGGGACAAGGCAAAATACCGCAGTACGGTATTTTAAAGGCTACTCCATTGTGAGCATTTGTGCATCAAAATCCACTTCTTCAGACATAATACAAACAAATGCATGCCTTATATCTAAAGTGCCACATTATTCTACAGTTCTATGAATCCCACCCTGAACTTATTTTTGCTAACATACTGAGACAGATCAACAACAATTATATTGGAAATGGCGAGATACCTCCATGCAAGAAACGATATACAGAGTCCTCTTTTGGAGAGACAGGCAGGATATAAAACCCAATACATACATAAAGCCTACTATGGCTGTTATAAAGGTAAAAATAGAGAACAGGACCATGTATGGTTACCACAGGAATAGTGGGGAATTAAAAAAAAGATTACTGGAGGGTTAGAAAAGGTATAACAAAGAGACAACCAGGTAACTGTGGGGTTGCAGCAAGCTTTCTCAAATGGAGAAGAAACAACTTGAAATTTTTCAAGATATATACTTAAAAAAACCCTTGAAAAACTGAAATCAGTAAGAATCAGTACAAGTGGAGAAACTGAAGAGAAACACCACCGAAAGTAGATCAACCACTGAAATACAAGGTTTAAAAAAAAAAGACTTGAATATAAACAGTTCTTAATTAAATGACTGCACAACTCCAGGCTAAACAGATGATCTTGAGCAAAATACTCAAAATGTATCCGCACAACATGGTTACAGCAGTCTGATACTGATGCCGCTTTAAAAAGTCCATCCTACTGAATCCTGGGATTAGGGGAAGATCAAATACAAAATGGATTGACTCCTGCACGACATGGTTACAGCAGTCTGATACTGTTGCTGCTTTAAAAGGTCCATCCTACTGAATCTTGGGATTAGGAGAAGATCAAATACAAGATGGATAGACTCCCTAAAGGAACCCACAGGCTTGAGTCTGCAAGAGTTGAGCAAAGTTGTTGAAAACATGGCATTTTGGAGATTGGTCATTCATTTAAGGAACTCACAGGCTTGAGTCTGAAAGAGTTGAGCAAAGTTGTTGAGAACATGGCATTTTGGAGATTGGTCATTCATGGGGTTGCAGTAATTTGGGGGACAACTTGGTGGCATGGAATCAATTTTTATTTCTTTATTTATTTGATTTCTATCCCGCCCATCTGGTATATTCTACCACTCAACAACAAAGGCCCTTAGAATTCTCTGCTAGAAAGGTCTAGTGCCTCCTCTGAGCTGCAGCTGATAATTCCAAGTAAATCCCAGATTTCTTCAACACTGAGCTGCGACAATTAAAATGGTATCAAGCTACCAAACTCTGTGGTGCTTGATAAGCTCTTACAAATTACAGCTGAGGCTTTCCTTGCAAAAAGACCACATGGATCGGTCAGCCTCACCAGGGCCACTGCAAAGCCTGAAAGGTGAAATCACTTAAAATGTACTTTGCACCCTTAAATATATTAAAGCAATTGAAATAATGACGGTTACACTTAATATTAACAATTTAAGTCAATCTCATCATGCATTATTGCCCTGCCCTAATCTCTCCTCCAGCCCACCTCCCGCCTTCTTGCTGCCTCGAGTTGTTTCCATTCTGTCACTCTACAAAAGCACATTGGAAATTTATGACATTATAAATAATAATTAGAAATAATCCGTAGCAGATGAAAGAGGAAATGAAACCATCAGCCATCTGAAAAAGAGAACCACCTGCTTGTTCTTTCAAATAATGCTAGAATTAAGGGAATAGCTGATGAATTCAATGTATAGCTAAAAGAATACAGAAAAAGACACAAACATTGCACCACTGACATTAGGAAAGCACTATCATTTCTGTTTCAAAAATTGTCACCCATCTCTACAAACAACTCATACTTAAAAAATAAAAGAGAGAGAGAGAGAATACTAACAAACTAAGCTAATGCAGTGAGGATGCCTTCTCCAGAGTTTCTTGCTCATGGGGAAATGGGCAAGGAAATCAAGCATAGAAGGTAACAGATGATAGCACTGATGTTATTAGCAGCCACTGTTCCTAAAACTATGCCATTCGTCCACCAAATCCAGACACCAAAAAGGCACAGAGGTGCAGAGACTTCTGTCACTGTAACAGGATGACTGTAGAAGCTCCATGAATTCAATTCTTAACTGATGCTCCCTCAACGGCAATATCCATATATTAGCCACACTGAACCCAAACAGCAGCCATGAACCAAAAACCTAATTTATTTACTTCCCAGAAACACAACCCTCCCTAAGGTTACCACTTGCTTTAATCTGGAAACTGATTGTCAGACAGGTCTGATAGTTTATTACTCCCACAGAAGGTGACAAAATAATTGTCCAATATACTAATTAGTCAATAAAACTTTTTAAAAGAAAACTTTAAAAACCCCATCTCTTCTTTAGATGGGGCTTCATCAGATGCTTCCAGTTTATTTTGATTTTAGCTCATATAAAAGCAGTGCATTAAGACCCAGGTGAACTTTAGCCATTCCTGTCCCAGCTGGGCAGTTCTGAATTTTCTTGCAAGCTCTGAGATTTATGTTCCTGGGAATGGTGTCTGAAAGAACTCAGAAAAGCAGTCATGTCATGATGTCACACCCCAGTTTATACTGGACCAGCAACCTATGGCTACTTTTGAGGTTGTCTCTGACCTCAGGCCTCCTATGTATACACCCAATATTCTCCTCCTTCATCCATGCTGGCATCCTTGCTACTCAAGAGAATCTTGGTAGACCTTAGACTGAAAAAGGGCACTTTTCAGGACAACCCCCAGAATCTGGCACTACAACCCTCCAGCAAAGCCTGGCCATGCCAGCAGGGAGATTTGGGGAGTTATAGTCTTAAAATGTTACCTTTTCCCACCTCTGCCACTACTCCAGAGAAGTGCTGTCTGAGCCAAGGGTTTAATCTAGAAATCTCCCTCCATGGATTGCCAGCATCATGGGGGTTAAACAGATCAGACAGAATTCACAGGTTTTACATATGTATACAGTAGAGGGAACAAATTTACCCTTCAGAGTAGAAAGACATGACCAGTGGCCATTCACAATTCATCTAATAAAGTGGCTTGCAGTCCCAAGAAGCTTATGCCAAGTAAATATCTGTTAGCCCTTTAAAGATATATTACATTGATTGTTGTTTTTGCTTCAAGACCAAGATAACTGCTCCCTGGGAAAGATTAACTATTAGTAGCACTAAGGATGTATTTCCTCTTGCTGAGGTGTTATCTAAAAAGAGATTGGAACTGCCGGAAGGTATTTTAACACCTATATATCCTCTGCAGCAACAATGTACCCCAAACTGTGCTTTCGTGGCCTCTTTGAGAATAGATGAATTTTTATTTGGCTTAAATTTTTGTGGACTGCAGCAGCTCACTGAAAGCTTGCTTTGCCTTTTAAAGTGCTACAAGATTCTTTGTGTATGGAAAAGGAGAATCATAACCCAGAAAAGTTCACATTTAAAACAAATGTTGATGCAGACATACTCAGCCGCCCAGGCCAACACAGCTACCTTCCCAAAACAACTACTCCAGAAGGCTGGTTCAAAGCAAACAAGGCTTTCGTTTTACAAGAATCTGAAACTTTAAAACGTTGCGAGACTAACAAAAGTTTTTATTTGGTACAGCCATTCATCACTGCAGCCTTCAGGGGGAAAAACAGAGAAATGGGCAAGAGTCTACAAAAGCTTATATACCAAATAAAACTCCTCAAATCTTTCACCTGCCGCATGAATCTTTAATATTTTGAGTGCCACCGACTGACACAGTCAGTCCTCTGGAATGGTTGGCTGGTACCGTTTATCCGCTAGGGTCCCCTCATCAACCTCATAATGTCACAGCATCCTTACCTCATCGTCACCGCTTCCACCTTCTTCCTTGACGGCTCCCAAAGTCTTCTGACCGGGGCTTTGGGTTCTGTCCTTCTGGGGACTGCAGTCATCGCTGTGCGGCTCTTTCTCTTGGCTAGCTGGGCTACTAGAAGGCTGGGGCTCATTGCCCGGCAAAGTGGCCTCCCCACTGCTGTCAGGTGTGACACAGGCAGCAGCAAGGGGCACAGCGTGGCGGGGCACAAAATAGGGCCCCGGTTGGTCATAGTCTTGCTCAGTCCTGATCTCCGGCCTTGGGTTTTCACAGGCCTCCCCAGATTGAGGGACCCCATAAGGACCCCTCATAACCACCGGGCGGTGGGCGGGCAAGGCATCCCCACCGCTGGGGTAGGGGTACCAAGTTCGGAGGTTTTCACTACTGCCTGGATGGGGCTCCATCAGCCCCACTTGTGGGCCGTATTCGGCTCTGAATCCAAAGGCTTGTCCAGCACTCGCTCCACTAAAGGTTTCAGTCAAGAAGCCCCCAGTAGCTTCATGGTGGGATAAAGGAGATATATTGTTAATAAGGCCTTGGACAGGAAAAGCATAAGGGTGACCTAGTTCCCGACCCAAGTGACCAGCCATTGCGATTGCCTCTCAAAGCTTGACTTTAGTCAGCTATCTAGAGACGTATACGTCAAGCTTTGGATTTGAAAACGTTTTTTAAAAAAAAGTCAGGGGGACCCAAAATAGTTATACTTTACAGAGAAGGATCCCAGGGTAGTCAGAAGATTTAAAAAAATTGGAGAGGCAGAAAATCTTCCTCCCCTTTGCTCAAAAGTTCACCAGGACAAACTCTTCCCTACTTCTTCAGGCCCTTATAGCTAAAAAAAAAAAAAACTTGCAAGAACCACCACCACAAGGACAACAAAACCCAAGGATTCAATACATTCAATCCAATAAAGCTGGAAAGCCAAGTTTAATTTTTCACTCCCTTAAACTTGGGGAGTGAGAAGGAGGAACCCAAAAAAACGGAGGTTAAGCAAAGAATGCCTCCAGCAAGCACTTCAGAAGTGAGGAAACCCACTGTTATCCCCAAAAATAAGGATTCAATTTCTCATCCTTCGTTATTTTCCAAAAAAAAAAAGGGAAACCCAGCAATTCCGAAGAGATGAGGGTGAGGAAGAGAGAGGAGAGAGAGAAAAAACACCCCAGGGTAGAGCAGAAGAGGTGAGGGAAAGGTACCAAAAATATATATCGAAAGACCTGAGCTTCCCTCTGCCAAAAAAAACAGTCAAGGGGAGATTACCAGCTGAGAGGGATTATGCAGAAGGCGAGATGACCTCCAATGCCAGCCGGTGGGGAGAAGAAAGACATCATCGTGGCTAGCCAAAAAATAAAAAGTTTCCTCTGACCCGCTCCAGTCCTGCCCAGCTAAGCAATGGGGTCTTCTTGCCATCCTAAAGGCGATCAGCCCTCCAGTTTAAAAAGGGGCCCTGGCTCCTCCTCTTTTTCCAGGTACTCGCCCCAAAAAGGGAGTGGGAGTTCAGGATGGACGCCCCACCTGCCTCTCTGGGGC